TTCAATTCGAGACATGTCAACAATCAACAATATGGTCGTTTACCCCCCCTCAAGCCAATCTCAGAAGGCATGGACACCCTCAGCACGATGGCAGCACATCGTGCCTTGCAGTGGCCAAAGTGTTTCGCAGCAACGGTCACCCACGAAACAAAAGACTCCGGTTGTTGGTATGCTTGTCTTTCAACAGACACCGCGCAGGCCCCTTAACCACCCTTTCGTCCATGTGCACATGGACTTTTCAGTCTACATGTGACTGCGGTCAGAGATTCAGAGGCTTGTACATGTATTGCTGTAGCATACCCGTTGTGACTCACAAGAGGGCATCCGGCCATCGTTAATGCCGCTCCGTTCAGGCGGCCCCTACTATTTTGTTACGGCCGGAGATCTATGGGCCACCACCATCTCCTTTCTTCAACGATACAAGCAACAAAGCAGGCCTCCGACGCGGCACCATCCGTGCGACCTAAACCAGGGAAATTGAGAGACAGAGGGAATGAGTCGCCTTCTGCCTTCTCCACATCCACCCACCGCCTACGCTACACACATGTATCGCTCCCCAGCAGTAGAAAGGGGAGCTCTCTTGATGGCATCCAGTATCTAGCCGAGGTCGGACGGCACTTCTACAGGGCTTCCCGTTGGTTGCTGTATGTACCGTGCCGACAGACACACAAAGGAGGGACCTTGCCCAACAGACCATCTCTGTGTGTCCGTGTCTTTGTTTTCCCCTTACACACCATAAATCCCCACGCCTTACCCCAGAACCCCTGTTGTTCTCGTGTGCTGCTGGTGGGCTTCTGCTGTGTATGAGGTGTGCTGGGTCATCATGTGAGCAGTGAGCGGTAGTACCGAGATATCGTATCGTCGGGGCTATTATGGACCCTTCTGCATGCAGACCTCTGCGCGCTGGCTCTATATACCGTGGAACCTGCCATCAACGTGGTTCATGGGGCGTTTTGCGTCCGACGGGGTTGGCCCTCATTTACCCCCTGCCAGCCATGCCCTTAGGACTCAGTACCCTGTACTGTACCTTGCCTGTGGCCTCGTTCCTCTGTAAAGGTTTGGCACAGCAAGGGATGTGGCGTGCACCCATCATGTGTCTATCCGTGAATATTGTTGCTGCATTCACATGGTGGCTTTGCTTTGAGGTCGATGCATACGCATTTTGTCCAACAACGGCAAAGGCACAGGCACCGACCGGGCGCTACACTTCATGTACATCATCATCGTTGCACCGCAGGCGCGAAGAGTACGTCGCGCCTCTCGACATGAGCTCCGAGGAGGAGCAAGAAAGGGCCAGTGAGAACAAGTACCTGTCGGTGACAAAACTCTCGAGAGAACAGGTGTGGGTTCGAGAGAGAAGAATCCATGTCTATCCACAGCAGCAGTACGGCTGTACCGCGAAAAAAGACACCTTTTGTCAAACCTGTTTCTTCGGAGACAATATGCTACTGCTGTTGGACACTCGAATGGGATCATGTGATCATGCGTACTCCGGGCTGCACGCCGGACGATGCAGAACCACGGCAAGAAACCGAGGAAACACCGGTTTTCAGCATTTTGAATTCAGCTCACCCAATTGCGGTATCAGCATATCACGGTATGTTATTTACACAGTATCATGTACAAGTACCAGTAAGCATCTCGTCTGGAATCAAGACGGCTTGGGAGGCGCTTTGGCGCTGACCTGAATGGCTTTGAAACCCCAGAACATCGGTACGTGACAAACGTGATGTGTGTCCTGCGCTGCGAAGAGGATGTAGCTCCCTCTGACACATCTACCTGCGACGGCAGTGATCGCTTTCGTGTCCGTCGGCCAGGTACACATGAGTATGTAGCCACGCGCGAGCGACGCGAGACAGGCCCCAATTTTCCTTCTGCTGTGTAGTGACTTGTCACGACCCGTTCCAACATTTCAGCAGTCGAAGTGTTCTCAATCGAGCGGTCTTGGATCCCAGAAGCAAGCATTTGGCCTGCGGAAAGGCCGCGAGCATTGATCCACACACCGATATACGTGGGCTGAAGGTACAGACTGTTGGGAGCCCCGCGTTCCCCGGTTTTCTTGCAGGACTCCTGCATTTTCCCGGGCAACCTCAAGTTATGAATCTTGCCGTGCATTGAATTATGACATGTTTTCGTCCGACATGCTCTGGCCAGTCTACATCTTTCGTTACATTGTTTTGACGCACCAACCGGGGTCACACAGGCAGGAGGTAAAGTCTGTAAACATTCTACATTAAATCACATGTTTTGTTTTCTCCAACCCCCTGCGGTGCTCGCCTTCAAGAAGGGTTCAAAAGTATCTTCCACCTCTTGTTGTGTGTACTCATGGCATTCGCTTTCCACTTGTAATTGCTAGATTATCAGAGGGACCTGAACCAATGGCCTAGAGTTAGAGGGTTGTACAGACAGCAATGAGGGTTTGTTTCACAGCCGTCCTCCCTCTCCTAGGTGTGTGGTGTGTGTCAGTGTGAGCCGCTTTCCGGGACCTTTTCGGAACTATACCCATCCCACGATGAGCAGCTTGTACTTCGGGCTAGGCACTGCTGTGTAGCGCTGCATGAACGTTCCGACGCTAGGTTGTGGGTTCGAACCTCCCCGGAGAGGAAACCACATAGCCGTGAATACACACATAGTTTTGAAAGTGTCGTGGAAGGAATGTGGAAATAGGTTGAGAAAACTCCTGCGTTGGGTGTTCTCCTGCGTGACGCCGGCGGATGCGGTATCCCATACAGCAGCATCGAATTCATCTCCTATTCCTTAATGTTGCTTGGCCAAATGTTTTCAGACCAAAACGCCGGTCTGATGACAGATTGTCGTGTGATGGCTCTATGGGCTACACTACATTTGCTGATACTCTAGGGTACGTCTCAATTTGTTTTGGCAACTTTCTTGCATCCACGAGCGCACCTGTACTTTCGTAACCATTGATCGAACGAGTGGGGCGTTTTTGTATTTTTCATGTCAGGGAGTTTCTTTGTGATGCAGAATAGATAAACGAAGACACGGCGGATAGAGTCAACGACCCTCTAGTGGTAATTAAATCCAGGCCCATTCTCAGCAATCGTTGTGTCGTGGTCGCAGGTGCTTTTTGGTGGCTTGGCAGCGTTCTTTGGGTCTGCTTACCTTGGCGCAAGCCAGGACCAAACTTCCTATCACGCTCGTAAACGAGATCTGTTCAGGAGTATCGCCGGTGGTGGTGAGAACGAGTTCAGGTGATCCATTCTGCGCTCAGCTATTGTGAGCCAAGCAGCCGCTGAACACACCTTCTGTGACATCGGGCGTGCACCTGGTGTTCAAATACCCGTGTGTCTTGTTACTTACACATGTCACGGATTGTCGTAAAACTACGACGCACGCCTCCTTACGAAGAATATGCATCTTAATCACAGACTCGAGGTACAAGAACACTCTAGCGTGGGCGGCGACCGTGGCATACCCGACGAAAGGAGACGTTAAGGTTTTCAGCTCCCCGCGTGGTCGAGATGGGAAATTTAGGCGACAACCGTTTTCCCCAATGGTGTATACATGCCTCGCGGAGGAATTCCCTACCGCTGTTGGCATCAAACGACTGCAAAAGCACGAGGGATCATTAGAGCGTTCCTCCCTTGTGCTCAACGCTTGGTCTCGAGTAGCCGGGAAGGGTTGATTCACACGTTGTGTTCGGGTGTCGGGGGCTGCGTGTTGTTTCCCTCGCCATCAAGGCTGGACAGTAGCTCCTGTACATCATTGGCCTGTTAACATGTTCGCGATTCGACGTCTCCTGCGTCTGATTGCTCACCTGGGGATGGCACTTCAAGAGATATCCTGGAGGTCGGGGTGGGAGGAAACCCTAAGGTGGGCGGCTTCAACAACTTGGAGTTCTACCGCCGCGGGCAGCGCATAGGTAAGGGAGGTATATTGCACGCCTTACAAAAATCGCGGCGTTTGCTGTGAAACATCTTGGAGTACATGCCAGTTAAGCACTTCAAGAATGTTCCAGGATAACCGCTGCTTTTTTGTTTCGAGTAGCTGCGGTGTGTTGTCGAGCCGTGCCGCGCGCCGCCAGCCGCAACGCCTGAGGCGTGCACCGGCCAAGCAAGTACCGTAAGGATGCGGGTCTTGGCACACTGTGCGGTCGTCTTTTTAAACGTTTTCATTACCGGCTTTTCTATCGCACAGGGGTGCCAAGGCGCCAATACTTCGATACCTGTGCGGGACATGAATTAAATGTTTGGTCCTGAAAATATCACGCACACCCCCTTGCGATGACTCCGATCCGTGCGATTCTGAGTAAGTACAAAGCGACGAGTGGGGTGTTTTGAACGCACCCCCGTGGCAAGACTCCGATGTGTGCGATCCTGAACAAATCACAGCAGACATACACCAGCACTTGGTGTGCGTGTGCAGGTATTGCAACATCAGGACCACAACATAACGAACACAGACAGACACAACCAAACAGCACACCAGCACCCCAAAACACGCAAAACACATGCGGCGAAATAAAATGCGACGAAATGAAAATCCGAGGCGGCGAGGTGGCGAATTACCTTGAAATTCCCCAACACAGAGGTCTGTGCTCACACACGCACCACACACAAGCAACACGTTGGTTACGCTATCACAGGGTGCAAACGCGGAGTCTGTATTTCGTAGTACATCACTTGCACATGAGCAACGTTACGATGCCAAAGTACAGCACTTGAGCCCCTGATACAAGCTATTCACCTTGGTACAGTAGTGGCCCGCGACAAAAGCTGGATACCATGGGATCACCCAAACTCGCCGAAGGTATCGGGGTCTCCGCACACCCCTGTCCGAAGTGAACGATACCTGTGCGATAATCAACTGAATCCCTTGGAACCCAAATTTTTTCCGCACCCCCTGTGCCAAGACCCTGGCCTGTGCGATGTAGCCGATCCATGCCAAGACCCTCATCCTTACGGTAGGCACCTACGGGTGCAACAGCCAACAACCCGCCATATGTTAAAAGGCACCGTCGTCAGAAGTTTGAAAACATTATGCTGCCTAAGCTGCACGTATTATGCTGCCAAAACCCACGACCGACGCGTCGTTTCTCGAGTATACGCTGTCCCCTCAAAACGTCTTCACAGATTTGGTTGCATTCGCTCGAGTGTAAAAGCTTGGCGCCGGATCAATTGGCGAACCCGGTCTGCCCTCACTCGGCGGCCGTGCGCATCTTCTTACACCCTTGCTTGTCTCCGGGAGGTTCGCCTGTTCTCACGTCTCGAAGACTTGATTTTCCGGTGCGGTATTCAACTGTTGCTCATACTCCGCCTGGATCCGACAGTTTTTTATCGTGTTTTCGGCGATGTACAGCCAATGAGCTTGTCTTCTCCATCCTGGCTCTGTATTGGGTTTAGCGATTGTCGTTACCCCAGCTACATCCCTCCGTTCTCCCCACTGCACCCCCCCACCAGTTGGAGTTGATCCCGCTCTGTCGGGCGAACCTTCGCAGGCTCTTGAGCGGGCGACCGAAAAGGCGCAAAAGCTAGGCCTCACTCTGCGAGGAGTGGGAGGGATCGTTGAGGAGTTGCCGTTCGAATCAAGCTCCTTCGACGCAGTGGTATCAACGCTCGTGTTTTGCTCCGTTCGCGACCCCGCGGCGGCTCTGCGAGAGGTTGGTCGTCCGTTCAGTTTGCCTTGGATGCCCTTGAGCGTAGTGCAGCATTCTTCTTGAGTGTAGCGGGTGGGGGCCCTCTACGCACGGTGCGCCGGCAACTGCGTTCGTTGTAGTTGTCCAGCTACATGGAAACCAAGCAAGCATTCGTCCTGCTGTACTTGTGTGCGGCAGTGAATGTTTTCGCTGCTGCTCTGTGTCGTGGCGAAAGCGTGCCTCCGTTGTGTGTCAATGAACGTATTGTTGATGTGCTGGGCGTGCTGGCGCTTCTGGTGTGCAGAGCGTTGTGTCACTTGCGACTTTCCACTTTTTTGACGGTTGCCAGTTGTGTACGTGCCTTGATGATGAACCAGTCTTGCTTCGAGGTAACTTGCGCGAGGCGTAGACGTCTTGCTCGCATGGTGAAATGCCACTGCTTTGCAGCCGGTCTCATTCTTCTTCAGACACCCGATAGAGTTCCTTTCGTTTTTGCCCGAGGCGTTGAGTCGACGTTGCGGGGCGTACTTAGCCACGATTTAGCTTTAGTCATTCGAAAACACTTTTCGCCGGGATACCTCACGATAAGAAAGCTGCTGTGCCACTCCGCCCGGGTGGCGGCCGAGTCCATGAACTGGCGTCTATATATCTCTACCGACGGAAACCAAGGCAGTTAAGTATTCTGGAGAATTGTTACGGGGTCATCGGTCATAGTTGGCGGTGGCCATGTCATTTGGCAGACCCGTCTGGCAAAACGTGTTGCGAAAATTTCGGTGGTATTGGCTTCCCCTCGTGTATAGACTCAACTGTTTTGCGGCTTCTCGCTTGCCTCCCTCGGCAGGTATCAAGGGTGCTCCGGCCAGGAGGAAAATTCCTCTTTGTCGAGGTGAGAACTCTGTCGGAGGGATGTAGTTTACTTTTGGTCTGTGACTGTTACAATACACGTGGTAGGTTTTATGGTTGTAGGCCATCCCGTGTGAAATCGGGACATGCACCCACCTAATAGCGCGTAGCCCGATGCAAGTGGTGTGCACGCGCGCGTGGCTCAAAGAAGTTGTTTAGTACATGCAGCTTCATTCGGTCAGGCGCCACAAGCCCATGATTTTCAATGGTCGAACATTGACACTATTTAGCCAGTTGTTTGGAACACTGAAGCGGGGATCCACTGTTCGGTGCGGCGTGCATTCCGCACGGAAGTTGCCGTGACCTGCAGCGTCAACTCTTATAATATCAGAGCAACAAACACGACTCCCGAGCACTGCTTCTGAAGGCTCACGCTGCCTCATCTCTTCTTGCTGCAACTTCCAACGGTTCGGCGTTGCGCTGTCCGTGTGCTCATAGCATGTCCATGCGCCGGACGAAGGCTTGTCGATTCTAGGCCTTCGGCAACAGCAAGAGTTGTTGGATCCCCTGCAGCAGCTCCTGGCCGACGGGTGCCATCTCACGCGCGAGACTGGCCAACTCATCAGAGACTCCGCTGGCGAATCACCGTCAAGGTAGAGTCGGGGGGCAGTGGAGTGCTTCAAGGGTTTGCACGGCACGACAACAATTTCCGCGTTGGAGCTTTTGGGGGCGAGTGAGCTTGCCCGGCATACCATTTTATATATCATGAAGGTAGCGCCACGAAGTAGCTGCCGTCCGGAAAACAAGCGTAGCTTCCTGGAGTTTGTGAATTGGGTTTGGGTACAGGTGAAGACGAAAGATGGGTCCGACTTACAGACCACGATACGTGAGAACGGCAGCTTGCCTTGAGTTGCATCGGTAGATTGTAACACCACATGACGCTATTGAAGGTATGTCTTCCCACGTCAACTTGCTCGAGCTAAGAAACCAGAATTCTCTCATGATGCTCATATTGATTGCCAAAAGGACGTTGTGCCCAGGTAAGGGTAGTGAAAGATGCGACTAACATTGACCCCCCACCCGTCCTAACTTGCATGTGCCGCGCTCACAATGGAAATCCACCTCGGAAAGGAATCGGCTATTCTCGCGAATAGAAACCATTGAGAGCGTACGGATAAAGAGCATGTGGCCTGTCTCCGAGCAGGTATTCGGGGTGGTGGTGAAGTGAACCATGAACAATCCCAGGGCGCTTGAGCAATACTCATAAGTTTTGTACTTTGAACAAAATCCGGATCAGGGCCGTGTCGTCGTGTGCCGCAGCCTCTGGCAAGTGTGTACAGAGCACCGCACTTGTCACGCTGTGGGGTCGCCCAAACAGTATTTCCAGCCGTCTGTTTGTGTCTGCAAGCGCCAGGCAGTGCCGCTGGCGTAGCCAGCAACGTGGCGTACGAATTCGGGGATGATTGCACCCGCACATGCGCTCCCAGCAAAATAGGAAAACACACGTTCTTTGTGGAACTGAAGGGCCAACAAGGGTCAGGCATGGGTTTGAGTGTGTGTGCGGATCTAGCAAACGACTTTTGAGTCCTTGCATATGTCCTACCACTGAACGGTACTGCGTGACATGTCAGGCACATCCATTGTCCAATGAAGCACGCGCGGCTTTCGGTCGGGTGAGTGCTTGGGCGTGGTGAGCAGCAACGGAAGCATTGAAGAGTAGTTTGTCGTTTTTACGCCCACATCCATACTGTAGCCATAGCACGTGCTGCTTCGATTTATTTGTTGGCAATTTTTTGCTTGTTGTTTCTCTCTGTCGTACCGGGCGCATGTAGGGAAAAGGGGAAAACGGCGTTTGTTGTAACCCCTTGGAAAACAAAGGGGTGTTGCTGTGGATCTTGGCCTGGCCTGGTCTGGCCGTGATGAAGAATCAGCGGCTCTGAGTTGTTGTGAACACGTGAATCTGTCCTGTACACGCGTGGCGAAAATTCCTTTTGGTCAGATACAGCAGTTGGTCGTGTGTCTCTACCGAATGCTTACGCTGGCAGGAGAGACTGGTACCTCCCACTGTAGTTAAACCTCATGATAACATGCGGACAGATAGTCCAGAGAAACACGTATATGATGTCAAGGGTCTCGTTCACGACAACTGCCGCCGCTTACAAGGTTTGTAGCATAGGTACATAATGTTGGGTGGGGCGTGTGGTGAAGCAAACGCCACCAGGCCAAATTTAACCAGATAGTTGTGCCTAAGGTGGCATTGATAAATAAGTTTGTGAGGCCGACGAAATCGCTTGGCACGGATTTCGCACACCAATAGTGCGTTACCGGCCTACGGTTCCGCCCTCCCGCCCACCACCAGTGAGGCCGGTTTCTCGAAATGACGCACGCTGGTTCGTCGCCTTTTGCGTGTTCAGCGCCATCCTGATGAGCGCACGGAGTATTTCGGCCGGGTAGCGTCGCACGGCAATGTTTCTCCACATTGTTCGCTGGTGTGTGGTCTCGTGCCCTCAAGGCGTGATCCACTCTAAGCGTCCGAATATTGAATATGGCCCTGTTGGGAGAAAGGTTCTACAGCATATGCGACTGAAACGCACAGGAAAGTCTATTGAGACTACCAAACGAAGTACCGTTCTCAACAGCCCGTCGGTTCTACGACCTTCACGGCGCACACTTGCAGCAACGGCAGGGCCCGCTCGTGCGCCTTGGCAGCGGCCACCATTGCTGCCGAAGGACTGGTGTTGCTCTCCGTTGCCCCTGCAGACGAGCCCGTTGTCACAAGCCTATACGCACTTCCGTCGGGAAAAAGCTTGCCTCCCGGAGGGAGAACCAGCGACGGCTGGGGCCTCTCTCCGACAACACCATGGAGCCGTGAATGGTTACCGCTGCTGCTGCTGCCAGTCGGTACCGACCGCGCCAGGAGTTGCGGGTTGGGGGACCCTCTCATGGTTCCGATCATGGGGTGCCGCAGTCGGAGACACCCCGGTGGCATCACTTCTGCTGCAACAGCTCGCTCCCGCTGCAGTTCGATGTCACTGGTACTAAGACCAATTCCGGCTGCCGCTACTTTATCTAGAACCGAGGCCGGAGCCCACGGTTCCCCCCCTCCGGCTGCTAGTCGGCTGACGTTGCCAACATTTCCTTCACCTCTCTCTCCACCGACACGTTTCCGGCTCGCTTGTTCATGCAGCCGACCCGAGGTGGCTGTTTGCATCACGGCTTCTGCTTGTGGGCACATGGTACAACCGTTCTGCCGCTGCGTGGCAACGAATTCCGCGAGAAGCGAAGCCTGGGGCAAGCGTTCACGGAGTTCGTCGACTAGCCCTTCGAAACTGACGTCTGTTCCCGCGCAAGATGAACCTGGGAACGATGAAACCGTGGAAATATCTGCTGCAGACGTTGCGACTGCACGAGAAATTTTATTTTCACTCTCTGTCGGACGTGCGCGCCTGTGTCTCCCCATGCGATCTCGCCACTCGCCTGCTAATTGGCCGTTTACCTTCCAGCCGCGTTTGCGACAAGTTTGGGCTCCAATTTCGCTATTTGATTCTGCTCGTGCCCTTACATATGGCATCGTGCACAGGCTGTTGTTGCTCCCCTCGACAGACAAGCAAGTGTTGTTGGTGCTGTTGGCCGTAACCATCCCACCCTCAGCAGATAGCACGCGGTGGTGAAGGACCTCGTTGGCAACGTCATGATCCGCGCTCGCTTGTCCTCGTGGGTGTGGTCCTCTGATGTGGGGTTAGCCATGGCCAGAGCAGAATAGGAACGGCATTCGATTTGACGGGCAAGTAACGATCGCTATCGGTGGTTAAAAAAATGTGGAACACTCAATGATCCTTGCAGCCGGGATCGACTTTGCTCAAGAATCTGAGCGTAAACCCTCCCTTGTGGTATTTGAAAAAAGTAAACGAAATAGGCCTACCCTGACAATCGGACCTCACTGTTATGAAACTCCAAGAGAACGTTGAACGGTGATTAGATAGCTGAGCATACCCATCGTGCCAAACCCATCTTGTTGTGCTGCCCATCTTGTTGTTCTCAGGAAACTGCTGTATTCAACGCATGAACATGCATTCGTGCACTGCTGAATGAATGGATTTCCAATGTGTATGTCGAGAGGGCAAACACTCGAAAACAACCTTCCGCCTTCCGGTTTTGGGAGTCCCAACAAAACCTACTGTACTTCGAAGTTTGTACCAGTAGAAGACAAACAGTACGGAAGTAGCAGCGACATGCGCGTTGCCACGCCCAGGTCGAATCTGTTGCTGAACCGTGCTGCCGTGCTGTCGAAGGCTACAGGGGGCGGTCCCAAAATTCCGCGAATTTATTCATTCACGATCCACACAGACTCAACCTCCTGAACTTTGCTCACAGTTGTTGTACAGCAGTCGTGCAGCAGTAAGATGTATGCCGCCGACGCACGCTTTGTAAACAGAATCTCGCCGCAGTCCTCCTTGGAAGGCTCTCTTCCTGTCTGTGTGAGTTCCAGCTGAGAGATGTAATACGGCGGAAGTATTTACCTTCCGTAAGAGCGCCCTAACTGAGCCTTGAGGGCCTGGCGTAGCAATCGCGCTCGATAGGAGTCCTTCTGCGTCAGGCTTCCTTTCCCATAAACGAGTCCACCCAGCGAGCTGATCACAATAGCTGGCGCTGTTGTCGCGGCCGCAACAAGGTGAAAGGGTCAGAGAACGTAAGGAACTTTCAATACAACTAGAAAAGAATGGGTTGTAGTCTAGATCTAGCTTTCTCTCACACACACCTGCGCGCTCACTGTCGTCTGTCCACATGGAGAAATCAAAGGCGTTGTCTGGATGACAAGGAAAACCTCCAGAGCACAGAGGGTTGACCTCTCTCTCTCTGTCTCTGTCTCTGTCTCGCGCTTTCTCTCTGTCTCTCTTCTCTAATTCCTCTCTCTTCGCTCTGTTGCGGCGCAATAGCGACCGTTTCGTGTGGGAACTCTTGTCACTCTGTGACAATCTACTCTGTACCTCGGTTGCCCACTCTCCACCCTGTGCTCCTGATCCTGTAATCCGAACGGAGAGCTTTATGGGGAAGGGGGTGACACAACTGAGGCCTAACTGAGCTCGGATCATCCGTGAAAAGTTGGAATCTCTCGCTTTGAGTAATCCGTTCGTACTCCAAAGATCACCCCAGTGTACGAATGGCTACTCTTGATAGGCTGGCAAGGATGGACGGGTTGGACGTTGGCGAAGAAGATACTGGTGACTACGGCCGGGTATCCGTGAACCTAAACGTGTAGTCCTAAACCACTGTCATCTCGCAAGTTCGTCGTTGCCGCAAGAAGGATAATGCCTTGAGCTGTAGTAAGAACCACGTATTGTAGCACGGCGTGGAGAGTACATGTGCACACCGGTACACATGTAGACTACATTGTACTGCCAAGCCATGGTCTTGGTCGGTAGGGTGCGACACGATACAAGCACCGATCCCAATATGTGGGTCAAGTAAATGAACGCCGAGAGGTTGATGATTGCCAATGGCAGTCATCGGCGTTCTATTCCCTTGCACGCGTCTAGACCACAAGGTCGAACACTCACACTTTGATATCCTGCAAACTCGACTGCGTATCCCTTCATGACTTTTTTGTGTACACGCAGACGACGGATCGATTGATCAAACCATACCTTCCTCTTCAAGACCCCTCTTCAGCTTGAATGAAGGCATCGGGAACCTCAGACGCCAGAACAATGAACCAGGAAACAGGCCAGCCGACGTGTCGTTTGTTGACAGCGACGAGAGCATGGGAACATCTGCCAGGCGGCAAACACAACGTGCTGACAAGCTTCAACCTCGCGATCCGACCGAAGACGTCCTGCCAGAGGCCGACCTTGGCGACGAACCGGTGCACCACGAAGCAAAATTCAACGACGACAAGAACGCCCGGGCCATCCTCACCAGCGGGGAAAACGGCTCTGGCGACACAAGCAGAAATACACTAGACAACCTCCGCAACACGTTCCCCGTTACCAGGAGGGCAGCAACGCCACCACCCGGGTATCGGCCGTGGGGGTCTTCCGTCTCTTATTCTTCCTCACAACGTCACCCAGTGGATATTTTGGAGAGGAGAGGGTTTGTGAGCAACACCCGCGACACTAGCCACGGGACAGCAAAAGGGGACGGGGCGAACGCGGCAGATGCAGCTAGCACCATCACAAGGCTGACGGTGTCTTTGAAGCGGGCACAGGAGGAAGCTGCCCGAGAGCGAGAGAGGCGCGAGGTGTGCGAGGAACAGGCGACGGCGGCATACGCGTCTCTGGAGGCCGAATCAAAACGGTGGGCGAGTGGCTCTGTTACTTATACACCCCCCATTCGCAACATGCTCTGCAGGGGTCCTGCCGTATTTCATTCTCAACCTGTTCTTCCTGTTTCAAGTCCAAGTAGTACTTTTGACAGGATACAAATCCATATACATTTTGACCTCCTTCTCGATTCCCAAATCGCAACTCCGAGAAGAGATATCACAGCTGTGCCGCGTTCTACTTCAACCACACCAAATGGCTTGTGTGTACACCCGCTGCCGGTACCAGGGACTATCGAATGGTTCCTGACGAGGTTTGTCCTCAACCAACTTGTTTCTGCCCGTTGAAGGCAAATTCATATGTGGTTATCCTTCAATGCATCTCTGTTGTTTTTCCACACCTATTGAAACGAAAGGCAAAAAAAATACAATTAAATCGTATTTCCTCCGTTCTTGCCACTGCTTGTCAAATCCCCTTCATGTGCGTTGTGTCCATCCAGTGCGTGCGAACTCGACAATCGTGTGCGAGATGCCGACATACTGCTGACTAGAAACGGCCACGGTGGTAGACGGGGGGATAACAGCGGGAAGGGAGCTGCCGGCGGTCTTTTTGGCGGATTTTCGTTAAACTCCCATAACCGGGACAGGAAGACCCGCAGCTTTTCTCCTGATCGCAATGGGGCGAGCAGAGTTCGGGCGGTCGAAGCCGCTGAAGAAACCGAGACACATATGGCCGTTATCGCTGACGCCACTGAAAAGGTAGGTTCTTGCACACCTCGACAAGACCTCATCTTGCACCTTTTCAAACACCTTCGGTATCAGTAACCTGCGATGTGGTGACATCTGCTCACAAGATTGTGCTCATAACACGTCGTGAACCACATCTGACACCAGACGGCACAAAACCGTTAGAAAAGAGGCCTATGTAACTGACAGCAGCCCAACGGGCTCCGTCCTGGCATTTCAACGTCAGGGTCACACACGCCTTCAAATATCGGATTTTGTTTAACACCTGAACCAATCTGGTTGACGCCTCCTCCGTACAGTCGGTACGAGAGGTGCCTACGACATGTAAGTATGGGGTCGTCAGGTACAGGATCAAGAAATCACGTTCATGGCCCAGGACCACGCATGTATTACAAATTTTCATGGCGCTGGCGAAATGCTGGTTCCTCAGATCGTGATTACGGACCTACGGAATCGAACGAGTATGTTGTTCACTCTGACCGCCTGCGGAATCAATCGCGTAAACAATCGCGGAATTCCAGGCGAGGGAGGAGGCCCAATCTGCCCTGGACACTGTAGAGGCATTTGCCGCTCTCAACCGAAAGCTAGTGGATGAGCTGAGGTAAGGGGTTTCAGGGGCGTCTGTGTATATTTCGGTTTGGGGCTTCAGTACGGCGCCGACTTGTCAATACCGACGGCCTTCACTATTATTGGTACTGATGGCCCTCGATCCTTCGAGCGTGTAGTGTACCTAATACGGCAGCGGATGAAGCATTGCTGTAAACGACGGCTGTCCATCCGTGGAAGAGAACGTCAACGGTGATACCGCATGTAGCGAAGCGATAAACTTTCCACCTCTCGCTGACCCCCGGTAAGGCGAGCTCCAACAAGATGGATTACTTCCGTAGTATACGGATGGTAGGCACTTGCGAAGTTTAACGATTTGCTGCCCAACTCGAACCTTCCGAGTCGCCATATGTTCGGCTTCGTTTCAATGCCAACGTCTATTCCTGAGATCGAACAATACAAGTCAACTTTCTCCTGGCATACGGCTTGCGGTGGCAAAAGGAGGAGATGAGCCCCGCTTGTGAGGCGCGGTATTCCATACAAACACGCATCGGCTCACCGATTTGGGTATATCGAATGGTAAACTGGGCAACCAACACCGAAGCCGCCGCTGGACGTCCTCAGCTAGATGTCCGACTCCCTCCCCCCCCCTCCCCCCGTCTATACCTTCCTCTACTTCACAGAACCACTGTTTGTGCTCGAGACGAGCTCTTGGGGGACTTGAGGAATGAGAGAGGGATCCGAGAACAGCTAGAACACGACATCGAGGAGCTTCTGGGGAGCGGACTGGTCGCCGAGTTCAAACTCAGAGAAGAAGATCTTAAGGCGAGAGTGGCTTAAAATCGCTCGCGTACCGTAGAGGCCTCGTGGAAAGTTGGCAGCACGTTAAGTGATTTGTTCGTCTTCTCAAAGTCGGAGGTAGTCAAAACGGTACGACAAGTGTAACAGAAGGAACAGCACGTATACAGGGCACTCGACCTATCGACAACACTCGACACAAAGTTATTCCTCGAGGACACATCCGTTTCGTCAATGATGAGACCACTTGACGCTTGGTTTTACACAACGACGTAGACCATGCCACGCCTGTGCCACACAAAAACTGAAAGCAGGCGCAGTGCAAGAGGGAGCAAGGGGAGAGCGCGAGAGTGGCCAAGGTGCATGCTCGAATGGAGGAAGAGTACCGCATTGCCCTCGATAGCTCGGGCAGAGAGCGGGCCCGCCTGCAGGAGACCGTTTCAAGTCTGGAGGAGACACTTCTGAGCGATCGACGAGAGCACGCTATCAGGTACCAGCCGAAACACGTTCTTTAGGCGGAGCGGAGCCATTCAGTGGTGAACGACCCAGTGTCTCCATACTTGTCAAGAGACACTCTAATGACCAAAATTTACGTGTGGGGTCTGTCAACGAGCTCTCGCAAACATCCCCCCCGCGCGCGCTCTCTTCCTCCCCAAAATGAAACATAGCGCTAGGGAGTTTTCCGAGCGAGCAACGATGGGCTCCGAGGAAATGCGCTCGTTACGTGCCGGCTTCCTCACGAGACCACGGCAGCGTGGGTACGACCGCCACACCGTCCGGCCCTCGGCCGCGAAACTGAGTGGCCAAGGAGGGTCCGGTGGCCAAGGCGATGTCAGCGGGTGGCTCTTCGACGTCCAGCAGCGCATGGACGCACAGAAAGTTGGAGCGGGGCGTGGCGTAGTCCGCCACCCCACGAAAAAGACCGCCCCCGATGGCGGGCGCGGGGTCGGCCACCAAAACACGGGATCAGACGGGAACCTTTCGTCCGCCGCTGTTGTCCCTCCTACCGGCGGTGCCAAGCGCCAGTTCACTCAGCCAACGAGCTGCGGCGGGGGCGGCGGCGGCGGCGGGGATGGCTCCTCGATCGGGATCGGCGGCACGGGCAGCGGGGACGGGAACGCGGGGCAAGCCGTCCACGCAGCAGCGGTCGAGAACGTCGAGCTGTTCCTCGGGGATTTCGTGCCGGAAGTGCGTGCTCAACCGCAGGCGGCTTCGGCGTTGCTGTCGGCCTCCGCCAACGCTTCTGGCTCCGGGGCGGAGGGGAAGGTTGGGGGGGAGGAACACGACGGTAGTGCGGTGGTGAAGAAGGGTTCGAAATGGGCGGCGATTGGACGGGGAGGGAAAATCTCGGCCAGGGCAGCTGCGGTATGCTTGGAGGAGGTGAGGACAAAATAGGACCTGGACGTAACGTAATCTTGCTTGGTCTTTTTGGGAATTGGCTGATTGAAGGCCTCAGCCAAACCGGTGCCAATTACCCGTGGGGTATCTTCTTCCAGCCTCCCAGAGTGTTTGAATCTGTTGAGTTACCCCCAACGGAAGGTTTTGAGACGCCCAGCCGAGGGGACTCCCGTATACTCACATCCAGTTGAAATAGGCGGAACTCCGAAGTATTTTTCGAGGGAGAGACATACGCAATCCGATCGATCGTTCTTGCCAGGAGCTTTGGCGTGCTTGGATTGAGCAAACGGACACCACCTAGAGAATGAAGTGCATCTGCTGGTGTGAAACCCTGGGAATACAATCCCCTGTCGCAGTCCTGGTCCATGCGCGTGGAACATCGGAATCCATGTTGTGTTTCCCACCTGTAAGGTTGTACTACCACCTTACCAGCATCATCCATGAAAGGAAAGGTCGGCAGGGCCCGAAAAGGGTCGCTTGGCGTCCCAAATCTGAGGGCGTATATTTCTCGTGTTCGAACATAGTATGTTTGCTCCTCTCGCCGAACAACGCACGCCGAGTGTATGAAAAACAAATCAACGATCCAATCAGAACAAAATCGGGTACACTTTACCAATAGACGATCTTTCGAACGTCAAAACGAAACTGCTTCACCCCTCGGCTGTTGCATCTTCTCCCCCTTACCGTTCTCCCGGCACCGTCCCCCCCCCCCCCCCCCCCCCAAAGGCTAACAAGGCAGCACAAGCAGAGACCCTCCATCGTCTCCGATCCATGATCAACGCCGCCGCTCGCACCCTCTCGGCGTCGTGGTTCTCGCTCCTGGCAACGGCGACGTCAGCTGCTGCCACTCACGGTGGCCACGTCGGCCATGGAACCGGCGGCGGCAGGGGCGAAGGCACCGCGGTAGAGAACATCAACAGCGCTGCCGACCGACCAGCGTCGACCGACGCCACCGTCCCGGCTATCGCCGTGCGCCGCTTAGTGCAGAGCTGCGGGATTCTGCGGAATGCCGGGGGGGGGCCGACGCTGGCGCACGCTGACATGGAGCTGCAGAGGAACACGGCCAGCAGGGGAGGGCGCTCCGTCGGCCACCGTGAGGTGGGACGGCGAGTAATGATACCAGGGAATAGAGTTTAGGATCCGGGTGGGGCTCGATACACTCGAATTCCCTCTCGTGGTGCTTTGATCAGTACTCAACCCCTCAGGGTTCTACTATGTCTCCATCTCGCTCAATCTGCCATTGTTTCTTTTCCAATCTGACCACGCGCCAACCGTTTTGCCTCCGGTGCCGTTTGGATTGCCGCAACCACTACATCGGCAGTACTTCAAGATCATCATGGCCTTGTCACAGTACAGATTCGTTGGTGACGCGAAAGATCACGCCCTGGAACAACTGTCCCGAATGCTGCGCCCTGTGCAACGGGATAGCCCAAGGACGCCCCCCCACGCGCAGGGCCGTCAGGTACAGAAATGACAATATATTGGGCATCTTTCTGTGTCCCCTGTGACGCTCCTTGTCGTCGTACAATATCTCGATCCCCCCGCCCCCCCCATCCCGAGAGGGTGCACGTGTGAACGCGGCTTGCTAGTGGAAGTCACTACACACAATGAAAGCTTTCCAAATGAGGGATCGATTTGTTCAGCGTATCTAATCTTTGGCGTCGTCAGGAATTCTTGACCTGAATGGCGATCACACGTCCGTGCAAGGAATTAGCTGTCTCCCGGGCGAGAAGAACCATCGGTGGATTGACATAACATCCAAACTTAGGACTGTCTAACACGAGAACTTCAGGTACCAAACTTCTTCCGCCCGTGCAGTATTTCCTTCGACATTCGTTTCGCCTGGGAGGGCTGTTGACACTTGCTCGAAGAAAGAATTACCCAACCTTAAACTGAAACCCTACGTAGATGAGAGCAGTGGAATAATCGACAACCTCCCACGTTCTCCTCCTCCTGGCGTACTTGCTTGCCGCGCAACACATGAAGCCCGTACCAAGAAGTGCCAAACTCAGCGCCGGTGACGCTGCCATCGCCAACTCTGTACCGACAAAAGGGGCAAGCCTGAACGAAGGGCTAGACGGCGCCGAGCGAGTCCTGGAAAGAGATAGGTGACAAGAAGCACGATACATTGTTCGCCCCGAAACAACTCAAAGGTTCCTGGAAGCGCTGAGACGAGCCTCTATGCTAGTAGCAACACGGGTCCGCTGCCCGTCTCGTTAGGTTCAGAGTGAAGTTGGTAATCTACGTATGTCTCGGACCACGAATCACACTAGCAATACCACAAATATTTTGCAGCCCTCTTTTGCGATCAAGAGTTCCCTCTGATGCTCTTCTGTTAATTCAATGCTGTAACCACCTGCATGGGAGGTTGGCGAGAGAAGCTTGGATCTAACACATGTGGATACCATCATCTTCATGTAAACCCCTTCCTCTTCGCCACGGCCGTCGCTTGAATTTCGATACCTTGGTCGTTTAGGCGGGCGTTGGAAGCGATGTTCCTGCACTACTCGACCTGTGGTCTGCTGCCCTTTTCGGCCTTGGCAGCGTTCTGCAAGGTGTGCGCGACCATGTAGTAAGTGCATCTTTTTGGCCGTGATTCTCGATCGGCATCTCCCAGCAGTAAGGAAACCTCGACGGATTGCAGTTGTTTTTCAATGTACTTGTATATTAAGCGCTCTAACCTGCGGTGTCGAGTGTTGAGACATCGAGATTGTGGGAGAGGTCACGCGCACCCTAGACTAAATCGGTTGCTGAGACGAAAAGAGTGGTCGATGAAGAGACCCTGTGATAACTATTGTCGTGTAGGTCTGGGAGGGGTGGGCGATCACGCCGACAATGACGGTACGGTCGGGTTTTCATCCTGGCGATCGTACACCCAGACTTGCGTAGCTGCACTGCAAACACGCAAACGACGGTAGAAGAACTGTACCCGTTGACTTCGTGCCCCTTGCTATGAATTCCCAGGTAGGCACCTCACACGCATCCCCCCTTTCTGTACCGAAAACCTGTTTGCTACACGACACCACAGGATTTCGAGCTGACTCCGGGTCTGATACCCCGAGACAGCGCCCACCGTATTTACGTACAGCTGGCCTACCCCAATGAGCCCGCACTCACTCCGAAACTCCTCGCAGCGAGGGAGGAACCGCCGGGCCGACGGTCGGCAGCGGCGCCGGCAACGGCAGCGCGGAATCAGTTTGGAGAAGGGGGAGGTAAGCTGGCAAGAAGATGTTTGTCACACGGTCGAAGTTTCGTGCGGGATGGATGTTCTTCCACACAAGCGCACCTCAACCGAATGGTACCGCGGCTCAGGTTGAAACGGGCAAGGAAAAAAACGAGGAGGGTTTCTACGTGCTGTCCATTAAAATATTTCCGAACTAATTAATTAAGGGCACTCGGTTCAACGGCACTTAGCGCCCTGGTGCCCCTTGTGCACGAAGTTCGTTTAGTTCTCTCCCCACCACCAACTCGACATAATTAGTCCACCAAGCGTGGGTAACTACCGTAAGAGTCGGAGAGATGGCACCCCCGTGTTAGCGTTGTTTTGTATTTTATTTCTCCACAACTAGGAGGGTGCGAACACCAACCGATACCTCTCAGGAAAGCCCTCAACGAGATGTTTCCAAAACTACCCTTTTCGGCAGTGGTACCCCCCTGGTTGTGGAGAAATACGCTATACAAAAACGCTAACACGGCGGTGCCATCTCTCCGACTCTTACGGTATGTTAGTGTCTTCTAAGCACCTTTCTTTCGTTCAGCAACATCGGAGAGTTTCCGCTTTGTCCTGCACCTATTTTTGACGCGACACGTTCCTGTTGCTCTACCAACAGTGGTGGCTGCAGCCGGCCTTGGACTTGACCAGTGGATGGCGTGGCTAGGACTCGTGGCCGTTGGGTGTTCTTGGTTCGACAAACAGCGCGTGAGTCATTTGCACCATACATTTTTTATCCACGACGGTTTTGGGTCCTCGCTTGGATCCATCACTACACTTCGAACACTCCTGCGGGTATGCGGCATAAATATATATGGAGAAAAAATGTGGTCGCAGTTCGCAGCACGGTTCATAAATTACAATTTTGTTCAAGAGGTGGCTGAGGCACTCAATTGCATGACAAAACTCGTTGGTTGACACCAAGCGACACTTTCATCAAAGTCAGCCCAATGTTCGTCGTTGATAATTGGCGTGCCACAAGTAGCGACGAGAGCGTAGATAAATTTCCCTTCCCTCGGCGGACGACGACAAAACCTCCAGCACTTCAACAAAATGAATAAACAGGGCCTCTACAATACCCCGACGAAGAAGGTTCTCGGCCTGCTGCAGTGGATGGAGGGGAGCGTCGGAAAGAAACGGATCAGCGCCAAGAGGGGCGGGGCCTTCGTCCCCGCCTTCAACCTCCTCCCGCTGAAAGTCGATCATCGGCAGCGGCCGTGATGCCCAACGTAGAAGCTATGGTCAGAAACGCAAGAATTTTCTGGAGGGTATTGACCCCAATGGTGGTGTGTCTAGACCTAGAGCTCGTAAACATGAAAATTGCGTAAGTTGGATGAAGATTGGGTTTCGGTTTTCTTCGTGGATCCAGAAGGATATTGTTTGGAATTCTTCGACGGCGGGGGTGAAATATGGCAAGCCATCTATCCTGTGTTGCCTTTGTGGGCATCTGAAAGAATTTTCCCCATGGCACACGGACGCCCACATGGATCTGCTTCTCTGAAGCGTGGGGTGACGAAATAGCTTTGTGGCGAATCGTTTCCACCTCTTCAGCCACAAAAGGTCAACAAATGTAGTCGGTGTTTAAAAAAGAAAAACCTATCGCACTAGCTAGCAGGTGTTGTATGACTCCCCTTCTCTGGCAAATCGAAAGTTTGTCAGTGTTCACTTTAAGGAAAGGGGAGAAATTGTGACATTTGATTAAACGTATGCATAGTGTGCACGTTCTTCTTAAGAGGGAGGGGAGAGAGAGAGAGAGAGTGGGAGGGAGAGAAAGAGAGAAGCAACAGCGACTTGTGCTACCCATTCGTTTCAGAGAAGACCTCGTCTATAGGGCCCCATGTCAGGGTAGAGCTTCCCGTACGTGCCACCTGTCAAGGTAGCTACGGGGGAACGGTCATGTCTTCAGCCACACATGTGTGCCCTATTGCACGTGCCTCCGGCCGACAGCAGATGCCCAAGAATCGACGGGTTTTGGGACATTGGTGAACGATCCCGTCGTCTGCCTCCTTTGTGTGGAGACGTCTGAAACGAAACTTGTGGATCTAATGATCTAATGACATCGGGCGGCGGCCGAAATCGTCCACCAATCACCCACCAGACGAAAAGGGGGCTTACGGTACCGGAGTCGCCTCCGCTCTACTACACCGAACACCGACGATTCCGCGGAAACAGCCAACACGGTGTGTCAACACACCGCCCAGCCTCCTCAGCCGTCAAGGCGTGGATGGTGCGATATCAGAAACACGGCCAGGGAAAGGAGTCACACCTCACGGGTCAGGTAGGGAGTTGCAACATGACGTCCCCGACAAAAAATTGTCGGGGGGGCAGAGACGGGGTTCACCTTTCGTAAACCGTCTTAACACCTGTCTGAACATAGCCCTCGCGCTATGGGGACCCGCGCGGTAAGGGGAAATCAACTTGTGACGATCAACAGGCGTTCCCGGAGGTTAGAGGAGGATAATTCTTTGCAAGTGGGATGAGTCTCTTAACTCACTCCATTCAAAACTTGTAAACAAAATCGCGCTAGTGAGGAATCGGCCAACGTACATGAAATCATCCTCGCTCCCCTGCTAAAGAGAAATTTCCTGACAAAGAGTAACGAGTCACGAAGGGAGTCAGCTGGAAATATAGCTTTAATCCCCTCCCCTTTGTCCACCACTCGCTCGCTTGGCCCCTGATGGACACGACTTCCAACTTCGTCGGCTACACCACCCAAATGCCCTGTTCGCCTCGAGTCGATGATCTATTGAGCCCCACAGAGGGGTTCCCAACGCGATACCAAGGAGGGGCTGCCGCACATCCCCATTTCCAGCCAACCCAACCCATTCCAACAACCACGGTGTGCCACCCAAACCCTCCCGACACTCTCAATCATCAGAACAGCCTCCATCTTTTGCCTATCCAGGCAAGTCGACCAACAGGCTACTCGTCCGCCGGGGGGGGAGCTGCCGCATCAACGGTTTCCTTGGCAGGCACGACCCCCTTGGCGACCAGGTTATCCATGGTCTCGATCATCACCTCCGAGGGGGGCGCGGGGCACTTGCCGTCGTCGAGCTTTCTAACGTAGAAGTACGGCTCGCCGAGCTCGTACAGCTCGGGCCGCAGCCCCACCTCTTGTGGGGTCAACTTGTCCACCTTCGTATATAGACACACGCGAAGGACGGGGAGAAGACATCAAATTGGCTTGTCGTTGCAACCAAACCATACGCACGGCGATTCACAAGCGGCGATGGCGGCGCTCAGTCCACCGGTAGCTCTCGTTCTCGCCAGCAAGGATGGTCAAAATCGATAATATCAAGTCCAGATGCTGCTGTGTCGTTTCGGCTAACACATCATCGCATTTACACGTGAAGATGTAGCGACGTGCAGCGCTGTTATAGAAGAGGCGATGTCGTGTGTGCCACACGTTCGTATTTGAGTTGTTGGGTCCTTACAGGGAAACCAAAAAACATGTCGCCAAACATAAATATACACACCGTCGATCTCCAACGCGGACCACCGACAGCACCATACACCCAAACCAACGGCTTTGATTCTCTTTTCCTTTCCAATACGTAACGCACACGATACGCTGCGTCAGCGCCCACTAAACCCACAGGAAAAACACAGAGCGGCAAAGATGTTGAGGCATGTGCGCTGGCCGTCGTTGCCAGGGAAAATAGAGTACAGCCGGGCTACGCTGCACCCAGGGATGGTCTTGGCCTCATGACCCCGACCGTTTCACCCACCTTAACATCCTTGCCCTTGCCGGGGCCCAGCACCCTCACGAGGTCGTGAATGTTTCTCGCCACCTCGATCTCGGAGTTGATGGGCGCGGTGAAAATGCGCATCGGCGCCGGTTTATCCTTCCACATGGGCTCCAAGAGCTCCACGTGCCCCAGAATCAGCCCCCTCTGAAACTGTGAGCCGTGTGTGGGATACCACGGTGTTTGTGTAGGAGGCACGGGGCAGGTCCGCGGGAGCAAAGGACACAACACAAGACAACGAGCTCCGTGTTAATATTTAATGCAATTCCTTTGTATTTTCTGGTGCTGGGAGAAGATGGATTCAGTCTCCACAAAACAGTACGTGGCGAAACACGATCGGATCCGTGTGTCCCCTTTTGTCTGTGCTTCACCCAAACGGTGGGCACACCGATCATCCTCTTCGTTCGACCATGTTTACTTTTACCTCCTAGGAGGAGTACCGTTTAGTGCGCGCTCCACTGCGGTTGCGGACACTCCTTTCCGCCAGTAGCCCCAGCCCCCGCCGCTCGGCTCTCTCGAAACAAGCCGCAAATCACATATCAAATGCACAAATCCTTCCTGCCGGCCACCTACCCCCTTGCCAGGACGGAAATGGCGACAAAACCGTACCACATGTGTACGTGTTTCTTCTCAGTTGTGTTGACTGCAACCACCCATAATCGGCTGACCCGATTGCAAGACTGTTCGCTTTATGCACACGTCAACTCCAAAGCGCGGACACCCCAGATATGATGCAGACACCTGCAACGCCTGCTGCACGGTGATTCCTGAAGACCAAGCTGCTTTCCCCATGAATATAAACTTGTCATCCCCCTGAAGCAAATAGTCCAGCCAATGCGAGCATGGGGGGGGGGGGGGGGGGGCAGGTAAGCATGTTTACGTTCGGTCATTTTTCTCTGCCTTGCCACCGATTGCTGTCTTCCCCAAAAATCATCTCGGGCCCTCGCGGAGGTTACCAACTACCATGGGCTGGAACGAGCAATCTATGTTCATTATGCCATACACTTAGCAGCACATGCAGAGTAGTTTGTAAGACACGAAAGCTATGCACGGGATAAGAATTTTGCTGCTACCCGGCGGTCGAGCAGCTGGTGCATTATTGCTCCATTGTATTTTGCAGCCTCCCTGCAATCTCAACGGCGGGAAGTCTATCCTACTACAGGCAACTCAGTATATACCGCAACATGTACTGCGATGCACAGGGTAGTGTACACATCGCTCTAACAGAAATATGACCTGGTACACGATAATACTGCTGTGACACGACGTTGAATCAAAGCGTATGCGACGCAGTACCTCTCGGTGCACGTAGACGTCCGCCCCTTCTGCACCGGCCTCAGTAAGCCCGTGGTAGGACTTCACCTGCCGCTGGTAGGCATCCTGCCCCCTCCCTACACCAACGACCTTCTTCTTCTTTTCCGGCCCACCGAACCCCCCCATCATCATGACCCGACTGCTGGTAGCGCTTCTTGGCCGACCACTTGGGATCATGTGCCACGCGGAGGATGTTTGTCGGAGCTGCCATCCAGCTGTCAAGGGCGCGAAACTATCCACGTCGCAGAGGAGACCAAGCGCAATAGCTGCGCTTGGGACCGCTGAGATCTTCATGTCGAGAGCTGTGTTCGGGCAGCAGACGAGCACGTATGTACGACGGACACACTGACTGGAACACTGCAACAACTCGATGCCGTGGCGTTGTTGAGCCGCAACCCGAGCTCAAGGGGCTCCGTGATACCCTACCCCCTCCTATGCCGCGTTGTATGATCTGCGGGTACAGCGGGGGGTTGGGATGTGCCTGGCTGCTGCAGGCTACACAACGACACCTCCGTGCCTTCGTGAAACACGCATAACATGTCGCGACCCATGGATGAGGAGGAGCCCAGTCTGCTCTTGATAATTCTGGACGCATCCTCTGCCTTCTGGACAAAGCGAGAAGCTGTCCGGCGAAGACAGAAGGAGGTGTGCCCTCTGCAGAAGGAGCGTACCGCAGCGGTGTACCCATACCCATGGACAGTCTGCTGCTGCGCGTTGCCCGCTCTCACCTGCTGCACCGACTGCTGTCAACTCGTGTACCAGCTATTACCATCCGCACGAAGACAATGCAGAATCCTCCATGTTGCCGCCCGAAACGGCATCAATCCGGTCGCATTCGAAATTGCTTTGGTGCAGCACAGGCTGCTTGTAGTCCCCGAAAGGCGGTCGAGCAGAGAGTTGCGGTTTGAAATGACGAACTCGCAGGAACTACTGCTGTACACTTTGTAAGCAACGCGTACCATACAGCAGAAGTGATCAAATCCAACGTCTCTCTCTCTCTCTCTCTCTCTCTCTCTCTCTCTCTCTCTCTCTCTCTCTCTCTCTCTCTCTCTCTCTCTCTTGCATTCAATCCCTACGTGCTTGATACAGCAGCAGCAGCAGCAGTGGCCACACTACCGATTAACCCTACCCATTGTACAAGGCTGCCCGAATATGTGTGTTCGGTACTTCGAGCAACATGTGTGACGGAATTCCAAGCTAACGTACATACCGTTTGTCCTCAGGAGCGGACAACATAGATAGCTTCACATATTTTGGGGGTAACACATGCACACCATGTCCCGATGACTATCTCATATAGCAATTTTCCGTTGCGCTGTGGCGATCACCCGCACCGACGAGGGGGTGTTCCCTTGGGGACGGTGTCCGCTGGTATGAAAAACGTTTCGTGACGCTTCGAGAGAACCGCGAATATGCCGGCACCAGGGTGCGCATAGTTGGTTGACACGATGTGGATGCATGTGCACGGGATGCACACAAGGGGGAACCCGCACGTATTGCCGTCGGACTGACGAGCGCCACGCGCCTCCCTCCCGGACGCCATCCAACCGTCTTCCCAATCGTCTCCCTCGACGGCAACGTTGCACCTGCTGTACTCGTGTGTACCTACCTGTCAGCGACCGGAGTCAGGCGAGGTGAAGCTGTCGTCCTTCCAAGACACGGTCGAGGCTACTCTCATGTTCGTTGAGAGCTACCTCATGATGCACCGACGAAACGAGGTGTGCTTCGTCGCCTGCACCGCACGGGAAAGGTGATATTTGTGCTTTCAGCAGCAACGTGGATTATCGCAGATGTTGTAGCGAGAACCTTTTGCCTCTGACCTCCATATTCGTGCAGCCCTCAAGGCGTTTTTGTTCAAACATCTTCCTCGTCCGTCTCGTGTGCGACTCAGCACCATCATCTTCCCTACCCCCGCCATGGAGCGGGAACAGCGAACGCTTGGCAGGGGTTCCGTGAGCACCAAGGAGTTCCAAGACTGCCTGTGGGACGGGCTAGGCCGAGTAGTTGAGAGGGGCCACGCGGCAGGTAAGGCAAGACCAGGCCTCCCGTCGATGGGAAGTCCACATGAAATGATGTGTGCGTCCAACCCCCCCCACTGTCTCCCTCCCCCAACAATAGGTACGCAATAGACATTGGCAGTTTATCATTTAGTCTCCTGCCTCCAAATGAAAACAGCCATGTTTCGGTGACGTCTTCCACGGAATTGGAGGTCCCCTGCGATTGGACTGCGACCATTGCTAGTAAGTAGATTAGACGCCACCAAGGTTGAGGGTGTACCTGTGTATGCTTGTTAGTTGGTTCGCTCGACATCACTGCACGATACCACTTTAGAGGCTACCACTGCTTTCCGAGATAGCGCTTATTCTCTTGTTGTGGGAGGAATTGGAACCTTGCTGGTGCTTGTATACAATTGTCCATTGGTGCAACGCTAACAAAGCCGGATGATCACTTTCGATTAACGTGTTTTGGTCGACGTAGTTCACAGTCGGTGGCCTGGCTGCGTGTCCCGATCGTTTGCGATCGGGATTGTAAACAATCGACGCCCAATATTCCTCCTCTTGTCCCCTGTGGGCTTGCGCCCTCGCCCTACTGTCGCTGCGAATGCTCGGCCTTCCCTTCCCTTCTTCTTGGTTTTCGATTTCCCTCCTGAAGACGAGGCGGGTGGAGGAGACGAGGGGTGCGCTCTGGCGGGAAGCCTGTCGAAGGGCCTGTGCTACATTAACCGAAAAATGCGCGAGTCCTCGTCGATCCAGGCAAGTCCAGTGCGTTGATGTCGAGGACGCCGAGGACGGCGTCGCGTCATTGACTCGCGCGTTTTTCCTCTTTGTTGCTGCTGGAGCCGCAGGAGCTGCTGCCGCTGCTGCCGCTGCTGCCGCTGCTGCCGCTGCTGCCGCTGCTGCCGCTGCTGCCGCCGCTCATGTTTGGCCGGATCAAGCGCATCTTTCTTCGTTTGTCCGGAAAGTCGACGGCCTTGAAACCCGGCGCGCATGAGAAATAGCCTAAAGCACCAATGTGACCTAAAGGGCAGCACGTTTTTTCCGCTTTGAATTATTCTGACGCCTGCTGGTCCGAACGTCCCGACGCACTTTGGTCGAAGCTCTGGCTCTCTCTCTCTCTCTCTCTCTGCACAAGGATATCAACAGGGGCCACCTGCACTGTTTTTTGCGCCGCAAGAGGCTGGGTGGGATTGCTGCCGTCAATTTTTTGGCAGTATGGCATAACTGATGCACCGGAGACGTGTCTTGCAAGGCAACTACATAATTTCGCCATAGCCTTTAAGCGACCACTTACTCCAAAATCCCGTCCGCCCATTCCCATCGCCCCCGCTTTTGGTTTCCGAAACAACGAACCACAGGCGCGGGCTTTGGTCCTGTCGGGATCACCGGACGTTCCGGAGACGTACAACTCGGTCATGAACGCGATCTTCTCGGCGCAGAAGGCCGGGGTCCTCGTGGACTGCGCCGTACTAGGAGAATCGTCCACGTTCCTTCAGCAAGCGGCCTACCTCACGGGTAAGGGGGCGCGAAAAACAACAGGCACAGGCATGTAGCGCTTGACATGTTCAAGGGGTAGGTTCGCTTGAAAATCGGGGCTTGGCCGCTCATCTCTCACAGATCTGTGACCACCTTGTTTTTCTGATACCGAGAGTTTCAATCCATCTTTCGTAGAGGCCATTTCCGGGTGGAAATTTCTCCTGTTTGTGTCGTACTTGTTCTCGAGAGCGTTTGGACTGCTCCGGATCTGCGAACGTTATTATTTTTGCGCTGGCGTCGAATGACTTGGAAATCATTTTCACAGTGCCCGGCGGACCCTTCAATGGTTAGAGGCCAGAAGCTATCGATAAGTTTCCGTGATTTGTGCATATACGATAAGATATGGAGTAATGATGACGACAACACGCCGGCTGACCGCGTAGAAACATGATACCCCTCCATCCCAGTGCGTTGGGACCTGTGCGAGGCCCCTCCGTTGACGGGTGTGCGGATGTTCTTATGGATACATGAACCCTCTTCTTCCCCCGATTGCCGCGCAATGGACGGTTTTGAACGCTGCCATTGTTCCATTTTTCATGTCTTACCAGGTGGGCTGTACCTGGAACACCAAGGAGTGGGCCTCGCGCAGTATATGTTTGCCACCTTCTTACCGAGTCAGAGCTGCCGCAAATATCTCAAGCTTCGCACGCAGCAGAGCGTAGACTTCAGGGCGGCGTGCTTCTGCCACAAGCGCGTCGTAGACATCGCTTACGTGTGAGAGCAAGCTACCTTATGCTAGCACTCTCACCAACTCCTTGTGTCTGTTTTGGTTTCAGGGACACCGTGCGGCCTGTGGTTGTCAGCGCCCATGCTGTTCTTGAGTGTTGAACTGTTATCGAAACTGGTGGTGTCCTCCTTCGCTAGACACCCGTTGAAATGTAGAAGTGCGTGTTCGTTCTTGTCCTCTGGTTATGCAAGCTGGTGGCATTCGCAATGCTTCGATGTTTGCACAGGAGTAGCTCGGCACATATCCTTTACGACGGGGTATGCAATGCTAGATATGGGGTACATGAGGTTCTAAACGTCCCACTCTCTCCCCATGACTCCTGTGGGCATTTCTTCGCAGGTGCTCGGTGTGCCTGTCTGTGTTTTGTGAGTTCTCGCCAGTGTGCACGACATGTGGCACGCGGGCTTGGCCGAAGAAGATCAAGCGGGGCAGGCACAAGGCTCTTGCAGGGACGACTGTTGCCAATGGTCGTTCATGAGAGCGTCAAGGACATCAGGAACGAGCGAGGACGCCCACAAGCACATCTCAACTGCTTTGTTATTGGATGAGGATTCCGCTGAATTAGTTCGCCAAGGTTGAGTTTCTACATGCATCTGTACACGATGTTTCGCGCTTAATCAGACTCGACGTATACTACTAGTGTCGAGCAGCCGATTTACCGTAAGATTTCTCAAGATATGGCACACCCTGGAACGTTTCCCAAAAGCTCGATTTCTCCGCGACGAGGAGAATGCCAAAACCAAGCCGAATGATTATCTCGACGAGATGGTTCCAACGCCACCGCTCGGCACGCCAACGGTCTCGGCACCATCACTGCAGAGTAATCAAACTTTGCGAAACCTGTCCAGGGGGAATCAATTGTATAGGCGACCTACGGCATTTGGGTGTTTGCAGGCAACGGACACGTTTACTGGGCGTAGTTGTACATTCACAATCTCACGGGATGTAAGTTGTTTTAGCGGTGATCTTGGGCATCGTCCAGTAAACTCCTGGATGCCGTTAAAAGGCATAGTCTACAGACCCAATGAGTGCAGAGGTGGCCATCGTGCTGATCCAGTTTACAGTCATCACCTTCGTGTCGGTCGCGTTTGCTTTCTTTCTCGTATTATTGGACTTGCCGCATCTGGCTTCTGTGCTGCATGCAACAATTGACGCATCAAGCGGCAAGTTCGGCTTTGTTCGCGCGGTTTGCTCGCGAAACAATAAACGATAACGTCTCCCAGCCCTCGGTGACCGCATGTTCTCTTTTTTGTCGAAAACATCACGGACGCCTTGCACCTTGCAACTTGCGCTGTACAGAACTCTGCCCTCTACTTTCGTCTTCTGTGTGCCTCGCAACATCCACCGCAGCAAGTCGACGAAGGTGCTTGACGCGGTTGGCTGCCATGGACATACGTGGGGTGTCAGGCAGCCATGCCTCATGGGTCACAGCTGCTGATGGTTCCTTTCTCCGTGTTGTCTTGTTGTGCGACATGCGATGCTGCATGATCGACGGCGGTGTTGCGCCGCATGTTGTCAGCCGCCGTAGGTGACATGAGATACCACACCCCCTGCAACGGTTTTTCTTAGCTCGAGGGCTCCGCGATGAAGAGGATACATGATTCAAATGAGAAGCTGTCGGAAACCTCTTGGCAAGACGGATACCCACCCCGCCGCTTTCGGCATCGCCAATTCGTGTGCTGTTGGGCAATCGAGTGTTCGAAAATCGGCCAGGGGTGTGGTATCTTGTGTCACTTACGGGTACGTCCTTCACAACACCCCGGAGCCCCTGAGGCATCTCTTCCCCTGCTTCTGCTCTGCCCCACACGGCTCATCCTGACCTCTCTCCTTCTCTTCCCTGCCCCTGAAGATATTCACGATGGTGGCACGCACGTTGGTTGCACTGCTGTGCCTGGGGTCATCCACGGCGTTCATCACACCGTTTGTCGGAAGGGTGCACTCTGCACGCAACACAGGGTGAGTGTCGGGCTACATTGACTTGTAACTACAGCAGTCGCCGAAGTGCCCTAATTTGCAAGAGCTTCTCTTCATACCAACAACATGAACAACCAACTATATCGGTCTGCGAGCGCAACTTTTGACAAATGCATATGGCGAATATTTACAATAGTTGCCACTAATAAGCGCTCTGAGGATGTTCAAGCAATTATGCATACGACTCATGTTCCAGTTTGCGCCCAAGGTCATGCGTTTCATGGCCGACGAACGAATCACATCCAACAAACAACAAACAGGGCGTGTGCGAGGTACGCAAAGAGCTGATTCTAGGAAGCAACTTGTATCTTTTTGTAGCCGACAACCCAGACCCAATGGATCTTCACGTGAAAATTTGGTCTTGACCAAATTGCTGCCAAACGAGTGGGAAAAAAAACAACGATCGATGTGGTTTGGCGCAGTTTTTAACCCTCTTGCTCCCCCTGTTATGTACCATGGTATACAAGCTCACAAGAACGGGTAGCGGAGTATGCGAAACGTTCGGCGGGCTTTGGGGCGACATGTAACGTTTTCCTTTTTGCCATGGAAGGGGAGGGGGGTAGGACCTGTGACATGGGGGGGGAAATGGCGGGGGGGGTGCAAGTATCTACAAAGTGAGATCCCTTTGTCCCTTAGTTAACTATTCGACATGGTCTAGATGCCACCTTTGGAAACAATATTGCTCTCTCGCTCCCGTACTCTCTTTTCTGGGTAGGGTGGGGTAGGGTAGGGTATGATAAGGTAAGGTAGAAGGTAGGGTGGGTTTGGTCGGTCGGTCGATCGGGTTGTGTTTTCGGGCGGGTTGGGTTGGGTTCGAGATAGGGTGAGTTGGCTCGTTCGGTCGGTCGGCCGGTCGGTCGGTTGGGTTGGTGTTGGTTTCTGTGTTTTGTGCTGGATTGTGGGTTGGGTAGGGGAGGGTAGCGTGGGGTAACGTAAAAGCAGGGTCGGTCGGGGGTT